TTCACAAAAGTTAACTCTGCTAGGTCTCAAACAAGAGAATTGATATTTAGGATTGCTATAGACTGTAGCTAAGTACCTTCTTTATTTATCTTGTTATTTTTCTAGTCTCCCCAACAGTGTGTGCCATTTTAGGACTCATTAGATATAAAAAATTCCTCCTGTTCATAACGGCACTTAAATGAAAAGGCGAGCTTGATTCCAGTACATGTGGTATAAATTTAGAACTACTGCGTGTTTGTCTACATCAGCAAGCACAAAGAACATTAATCCCAGCTCATGAGCATACCAAAATCAGCAACAAAGATTTCTAGCTTTTTGTTGCATAACTCATCTCTCAAATGGCTAAAAAAATCCTCCTCCCTCTACCCCTCAAAAGCCTTTTTAAAACTAACCCATTAGAATAATTATCTTCCCATTGCAGTATTTATCACTGAATACAATACTGATGTGTAAGAAGAAAATAAAAAATGCTAGATTTCTTCCACAGAAAATGAAAATGGAGCATTTTATCTTTGCCACTTAAAATCCTTGGACATAAATGCTACGCCCATTACCATGTTCCATGTTAGTCACAGAGAAATTGTGCTTATATTTTTTATCATGCTCTTCACTTCAGTGCATTAAGTGACCTGATTAACATCTGCTCTCTTGCCAGAGAAGGCAATGTACACAAGCACTTCATTTAATACAATTCTTAAAGTACTTTCAATGTATAAATATAAGCATATTGCCATCTATTTATTTTAGGGAGGAAAGGACACAGAAATATATGGTCCACTTAGAGAAAACATGAATTAATCAATACAGCAAGCACTTTGTATCATTTGACAACAGAGAGCCAATACAGCTGCACAGTTCTATCGTGGCTGTCCAGCTACATCCCAGCTCAGAGGTGGATCATATTGCAATCTGTACAGGAAAATATCCCATAGTTACAAACTTAAGTTTCTGAACACATAAGCCTTACACTGTCATGAAGAGTTTAATTGTGTCCGAGCATGTTTATCCTGTGTCAGAGCTTCAGGTGAGTGGGATGAACTATGCTTAAACTTCAGCATCCAGTAGCATTTCCTAGCTCCTGGTTCTGGCACACATTCTGGTCACATTCAAGCACACAAGAGCCCCAGCTGCTTGCTCCCTATTTCACAATTTGGACAATCAAGAGAACAGAGCTACAGCAGACTTGGGAATACATTTGTCTATGCACCAGCCTAAAGTATCTTTTTGTCAATGTTTAATGGGAAGTCTAGACAGAGAGAAGAAAACAGAGTCATTTAAGAAAACATGCAGATATATAGAGAGCCCTGTAAGGTCACAGGCTTTCCAAAGCTTTCTGTTCAAGTTGTCATAGTCCATGTAAAACTCAGCAAAGGTGTGACAACTGAGCAAAAAACTCTATCAAGGTGAGATAGAGCTCCTAGCTAACCAAAGACAGTATAGAGCAAAAATGATGGTATGAGTGGCCTCAGTACTCACAAGCCAAATTTCTCCTTATTGCTAAAATCATGCAGAATCCTATACTCCTCTTGCCTAGAAGAAATAGTCAACTACCTGCAGGTGTAGCATACAAATGCTTTGAAACACAGCTACTCCTCGGAGTTCTGTTGAAACAGTATAATTGGATCTGATTAAAGACTCTGCCTAAATACTATACTAGTTATAAAGCTACATAATATATTACAGAGGGCTAAAAAATAAATCAAGTGAAGGTAAAGCCATTTTACCTCAGCCAGCAAAGTTCCAGTGTTCCTGCAAACATGCTCATTATTAAACAAAGTCAGCATATTTGGTTGTGCAGGCTTTTTTGGCTTTGGCTTCTTCTAGTTATCTCATTAGTGAACTGCTCTTTTAATCAATAGATTGCCAACTGGAAAGCTAAGTTTCTTGTTCACAGCCTTGCATGTTCCAGTGTTCTCAGAAACACTGATGAAATTGCATCCTGTTTTCCCTAAAATAGCATCTCTCTTTTTGGTTCATTTTACCCTGTGTACCAGAGAAATTGGAATATTCTTGATTTCATGAATAGTATTACTGAACCCAGAGTATTTACTCTATATGCTGAAAAAGCTAAAATAGGTGTACTATGTTCTGAATTTGTTTTTCAAGATATATGGTCTATCCCCAAAGCCCCCAAATTAAGTCTATGAACATGCAAAAAATTATCGGAAAAATTTCAATGGAATTATTTGTGATACATTTCTGAATACACAGCTTCTGAATTTGTGACAAATCTTGATAAAAACAAAGTATGTCTGTATGTGTACTATAGGGTATATAAATAAACACAGTGCAAAAGTTTTAATGCATTCTAAGTTCACACACCAGCTTACCCAGCATTAAGTTTTCCACATGCATACTTTCAGCAAGAAGATGTTTAGTGTGAGATTTTAATATGTTATGTATGGAGAAGACCAAAAGAAATTCTGTGTTGTATTTCTTAGGAACAATTTACAGCTTTCCACACAGTTCAAACATGCTTTTTAGCAGCCAAGACTTTTTCATTCACAATATTGCATGCTATAGTATTAAACACCCTTTAAAATGTCTCATATACATTTATCCCACTTCTTTGATGGGAATTGTTGCTAATGAATACCAGGGTCTGATCCTACATTTTTTTTCTTATGCTTGTCAAGATACTTTTAAACTAACATTGAAAATAGGGAGCAAAGCAGAAATTCACTTTACTTTTTACTGAAATGGATGCTCTGCCTAAAACATTTTTTATAATCAGTTAAAATATCTTGAATAACACTTTAAGCCCTTTAAGTACCAACTCTCTCTAAGCAACTCAACTCACAGCCCCACACGGGTCATGTGTATGCATTGGCTAAAATTCCTTAATATCAGGAAAAAAACCCTGTTTGAAGCAATTTTGCTCTCTAAAGATGCAAGCTAAACACTCTATGCTTCTCAGCATCTTGCTTCATAACAACTCTACCATAGCTAGATGCCACATATTTACTAACAAAGAAACATTTGAATCAAAATATTAGATCACACCAAGGTCCATCAATTCTTAATGACCTCTTAGAACATCCAATGCAATTGTTTCACAGGAAAGCACAAAATCATTATAGACTGAAAATTATCTACACCAATCAAATTTCATCTTGGTCTCATATCATTAGACATAAGTTTAAGCTCTGAAATGAGACATAGGATGGTTTACTAAGTTCTTATAATTAATTTTAATGACCTTGTATAGCATGATTAAAATTATAAACATGCATAAACATACTCTTTTTAGTTTTGCTAAATGTTTTGTCCTATCACTTTCTGTTGCACTATAGTTCTCCTGTTTAATTGCTTTACGCATGGGGGAAAAAATACCAGCTTTCAATTTACCATCTATATTATTCATACATCCATAAACTGTTTTCTGTGCAGCATGTGAATCTCTGTCTCTGCAGGTCCAAGTCCTTGTGGAATAGCTTACCCTAATGCTGCTTAGATTTTATGTGGAGATATTTATTGCATAATTATGTAAGGAAGGCTACATCCTGTCTTACGTCTCTATTATTCTAAATATAAGTAAATAAATGTTCTCATTAATGCCTCTTTTGTCTTGTATTATAAAAGAGGAAAAAAATTTTTTCTTAATCTTTCTACAGTATTCAGTATTCTGTATCTTTTATAGTGTCCCCACTTACTCATCTTCTTTCCAAGGAAAACCCTCCCAGTTTTCTTTCATGAGGTGTTCCAGATTCTCTATAATTGTTACTGTCCTTCTCTGAAGCCATTTACAGATGGTTAATATCTCTCTGGGATGTGGTGGAAAGCCTTACACACAGTGCTATACAAGAATATATACTCCCACTATGGACTCGCAAAAGTATTATAATAATCTCTTATTATTCTTCACCCTATTTCATATGTGTCCCAAAATTATGCTAACTTTCCTGACTGTAGCTGTGCACTGAACTGCTTCTAATTATTTTTCTCCCTTTCTTCAAGCAATACTCTTGACTTAGAATTCTGTAAAGTACACTGCTAGGTTTAATTTTAACTTCAGTATGTATTTATTAACACTGAATTTCATTTGCTTTTTTGTTGCTCACTTAGCATTTCTAAGTTACTGAAATTTTCTACTGTCTTCTTTGGTCAAGCAAATTTTCTTCACCAGGGATTAAAGTGACATGAGAAACAGCTATATCTTCTTGCATCAGTCAGACCAGTCAAGGGATGGACTTAGATGACAGCTTTTGAATAAATCAAATCTCAGTAAGTAAACAAGAAAAAAAAACAAACAAAAAACAAAAACAAACAAAAAAAAACAGCAGTTGCCAGGAAATGCACATAAATAGGAAATCTTTTTTGATTACAAAGAAGAGGCATTTGAAAATACAACAGAATCACTACACATAGTATTAACTAGGACACGTACATTGTATTGAGCAAACAAGAGATAGCCCTATTAGCATTCAAAACTTGGTAACATAATGGTAGCAGAGAATATTATAAATGCATTACAGTGTCACCTTCTATTGTGGATAAGTGGGTTTTTTAATAGCTGAATCAGAGCAACAATAAATTTGAGTCCAGCAGTGAATAACATTTTTAGTCTTTTTTTTTTCTAAACAAAGATCTATTAGCCATCCACTTGTTTTCTTATTTGTGTTCTTATAATTCTAAGAACCATAGAACCATTATACGTCTTCTATGTGCTTTAGACAGAGAAAACCATTCTGACTACATTGTCAGTGCTTCACCTCCTAGTATCACGTAATCATGACTTTCAGAACAATTTGTATAAACTACCAACTTTAATATAGAAAAAGATGTTAAATCTCCCATAACAGTTTAAATTTGCATGAAACTAAGTTTATAGGAAAATATACTTTGGATAGAAAGCAATTTTTGTATTAATCTTATCATATGACTCTGATCCACACAGGTTTCACTATGCCCTGAAATATTTTCAGCAAAAGAAATACATCCTCACAATATCGGTCCTACACATTTGACCTAAGACAAGCTGGGTTTTTTCACTTACTTACCCGTATTGATAGACTCTTCTTGCATCATTTTCAGTGTAAACCCAGAGGCACCAATGACTAGGAAGAAGAAAAAGCATAAATGTCACAAATTACCACATCCCCCTCTGGATATGACTACAGTTCTTTATAATGAATTCACATCTCTTTTTTAGTCTACCCTCCTTGATGGCATTTGCTTAGCCTAAACATTCCAGTTAATTAAAATAGAATGCTTTGTTTGGGTTGGATTTTTTTATTGGGGGAGTTTAATCTCAAAATTTCATTTGGTGTAAAGCTAAATATCACATTTTTCATATTTTGGGACAAGGAATAAAATATGTTTGCTTTGTTGAATCATGTTGTTTGCTTTTATATTTTCTGAAGCTATTTATCAAATGCATTAAGATAATAAATCAATATGTTTTGTGGGTTTAAAAGCCTTTCTCCTAAAATGTTTTGGCTTGATCTAATTATGGAACCATTTAGTTTTTTCTAGAATCACAATGCTCTGACTAATTTCATTTACTCTCAAACAAAACTTTCCTTATTTTTCTCTCCCTCATTCCCTCCTGTGATTTTATGACTTGCTTTTCATGCATGCAAGTGAAAATCCCATTAAGCTGTTAGGCCCACTCAGTCAAAAACTCTGGTATTTTGTTTACATGGTCTGCAGAGGTTTAAATGTAGTAAGAAACCTTGATACCTAACCCTTGTCCCACTAAAAATAATCAATGATATGACTCAATCAGATCAGGACTGCATCCATGATTTCTGTACATCCCTAAAATACAGAAGCAAATCCAACAAATAAAATCAGTTTGGGAAAAGAGGAGGAAATGTTTGCATTATAAAATAATCCTTGCAGCATCTACTTGAAAAGCTCTAAAATAAAACAAGTTATAACACTGATCTCACAAAAACTATTTTCCATGTGAATTATGTATTTGGTGAAATTTGTTTTGCTTTTTTGAGGTTTTATGATCTTATGTGTACTTGCTGTGTGTAAATCACACTCAGCACTTTCGCCAAGAAAAACCCAGAGAATACCATAGAATGTAGCATTAATACAATAGAACTAGCATAGCTCCTAAAATTAAGAAAACAAAGAAAAAAAAATCCAAAAGAAATCCAGAGAATGTGATATTGAGAAAGCAAACATTTGCTCCTGCTGAAAGATGAACCTTTTTTAATTAAGTCGGCTTTGTTCTTTCTCTTCTACTTTGAAATGCATTATAATATTACATATCATATATTATCTAGCTGCAAATACCTGTTACAGTATTTTGCATGTGAAAGGCTTTATTGTAATGCCTTCCATTGCAAAAACCATACAGAAATATAACATTAACATTCCAAGCTGAAAGTATTGCACATCATGAACAGAACAAACCTGTTGCTTACACCCCAGCAACTTGCACGCATGTCCCAGATAATGGCAACAGAATTATGCCAGGGGTGATTTAGGGATTTAGGTCCAGTGTACATCAATTTAGTGGAATCAGTGAAACTGGCTACTTCCAAAGTTTCTAATTCATTTTGGGTGGGACAAAATTTTTCAATAATTTTTTGAAGTTAAAGGAAATGGGAATGGGACAAGGAATGCAAGGGACAGGGACCAAACTTAAAGAGAAATGGGGAAGAAGATGTCTTTCTACTTAGGAGTCTGAGTTATATAAATAACTAGTCTCCCCTATCTCCCTGATTAATGATTAATTAGGGCATCCTAATACTCATCTAATCTGTACATATTGAAAAACTCAAAACAAATGACAAGCAGTTGTTCGAATGACATTTTGCATACAGATGGAGAGATCGTTCAGGAGCCCTATGAAGGAAGGACTGGCACATCAATCAGTCTTGAACTCACAGTTTTCACTACTAGGTATTCCTGTGAAAGATAGAAGGAAAATCACTACTGACACTGGAGTAGGTTGGCACCTATGTATGTTAAAACCTATGATTTCTTCCTACTTCAAAAGCACGCTCACTTGAAGTAATTTCTGTATATTCGTGCTGATATTTACTATGATGCTAAAAGATTCTAGGACAGCAATGCTGTAGCAAGACAGTGCAGCATTTTCAAGTTCTTCCTTGAGTGTGAGATGAAGTATTTAGTCTTTCCAATAAGCATAAATGTGAAGGAAAAACTGCAGCCTGAATGATTTTCCTAGTCAGAGATTATTAAAACACAGTGTGAGCTCACAGACATTAGTACTGGCAGAACAAGTGTTCACCTTTGTTTAAAAATACAAAAAAAATGGCCTGCAAGAGATGACCGTGGAATTGGGAAACAACAGCAGGAGCTTGGCCGCCAGACATGAATTAAGTCCTATACTAAAAAGATGGAACGCTGTTCCAAAAAGAAATCCTAAACTCTGTCACATAGTAGGTCTCCATGCAACTTGTAAGAAAGCCTTTTCCCAAGTAGCATATGCACTTTGATATTGCTTGGTAATAGCTCTTTAGTCTTTGAATTAATGGGGTTTTTTAATTTTACTGAGATCCTTCACATAGCTCTTGGCACATAGGACTGAAGGCTTTCCTCACTCAAGTTCACTACAGATGTTTACCTTCCTGTAATCCCTTCCACAGCAGAAATCACCCTGTTTCTCTGCCCATTTTTTTTTTCTGTACAGTTTGAATGACTCTTCAACGCCCCTATAAGTCAGATTAACCCTGCAACAGGTCTTTTAAAAATTCACAGATTTTGACAGCTAATTTTAAGTGAGATCTAATCTACCACAGGTATCGAGAAGCCACAAACCTCAGAGAAAACATTCATTTGTGGCATCTGGGTAGGATGTTTGTTGATGGCTGAAGTATATTGCTATAGTTTTCTCTAAAAATTTAATCAGCTGACCTGATTCAGAAGTTCTCTAGATACATACATGCAGGTGCACTCAGAGATACACCTGTTTCATTCAGTGAATAACTACTGTTTATTACTTCAGAATATTTTTCTTTTCTTTCTTCTTACTCTCTGTCCTTTTCATATTTAAATACTTATCTTTGTTCTTTTTCTCCTTACCTCACCCCACTGTATTTTCATTTTTCTTTCCCTTTTCCCTTTTTCTAAGCCTCACATATCTTGTCCTAATTTTGCTTACCCTTAGTGATATCGCAATGTTACATTTTACTATCTAGAATATCAGAGGAAGAAAATATTGTAATTTTTTGATAAACAGATTGGTAAGAGATAAAATAGCTAATGATTATCCAGGAAAAAACAGATTAAGTGGACATCCCAATAAAAGCATTATAATTTTCAACTTATCTGTTCTATGCTAGAAAATACTGCCTAGAATGTGTAAGGATGGTACTTCCTTTGTGTGTCTTTCAAAAATCGTTTTGACTACATCAGGGTGCCCTGCCTTTTCTGTTACATGTACTTCATTTAGTATCAGTTCCCCGGTTTACTGAAAACTGGGTTAGGGAAATTCTACACATAGATTCTGCTGCCAGCATATCATAGGGAATTGCAAATGGTACAGCAATAAGCATTGGAATTATAGAAAACACAACTGTGTTTCTACACGTGAGGAATCCATCAACCAAAGACAGCTTCTACTTCTTACAGGACTGCAAACTATGTCCAGTGGGTTAACCTTGACTGGCTGCCAGATGCCCACCAAAGCACTCTCCATTCCTCCTCCCCGGCAAAACAAGGAGATGAAATAAGATGGAAATGTTCACGGCTTAATAAGGACAGGAAACTGCTACATGCAAAACAAACTCTAGCCAGAGAAGATTGATTTAATTTTGTGCAAATTAAAAATAGACTAGAATGGTGAGAAACAGACCAAACTAAATATGCTTTCCCCTCACACCCCCTTCTTCCCTGGCTCAACTCCTTCCTTCACTCTTCATTCTTCAACTTTCTCCCTGCTCTAAGTGGTACAGTAGGATAAGGAGCGAGCGTTGTGGTCAGTCCATAATAACATTCCATCTCTGCTTCTCCTTCATCCCCACACTCCATGTTCTCCAGAGACAACATGGGGTCCTTCCCACAGGATAGAGCTCTGCCCAACCTGCCTCAGTGTGGCTCCTTCCTATGGACTGACGCTGTTCATAAAGTGCTCCAACGTGGGTTCTTTGCACACAGCACAGTCCTTCAGAAACAGACTGCTCCAGTGTGGGTTCTCTACACTCCACAGTTCCTACCAGCAAACTGGCTTCAAGTGGGCTCCACTGCAGCTTCCTTTATGACATAAGCACTTCCTTCAGCCTGGGATCCTCCATGGGCTGCAGTTTGCAGCGTATCTGCTCCCCCCATGTGTTCCATGGGCTGCAGGGGCTCAACCTGCATTACCATGTCCTGCTCCTTGGGATGCAGAGGAATTTCTGCTCTGATACCTGTTAACACCTACTCCCCTTCCTACACTGACCTTGGTGTCTGCAGAGTTGTTTCAACATTTTTTTCTCATGTCTCAGTGCTCTTTTTCACAGCTGCTGTGCAGCGTTTTTTAGTCTTTCAAAAGTACATTTATACAGAGACACCACAGGCGTGACTGCTCTGATCAGCTTAGGCCAGTGGTGGGTCCATTTCAGAGCAAGCTGAAACTGACTGAGCAACACAGGGACAGCCAGGGGCTGTTCTCACAGAAGCACCTTTTAACAGCCCAAATCCTCATTCTCCTGTGTACCAAAACGTGCTTTGCCCTGTTTATAACCTAGACTCTTTCTAAAAGTCACTTGGAATGTCAAATTGTTTCGTCAACTTTTGCATCTAGAGATGCACTGAGAAATGAAAAAACAGTAGCAAACAAAACTTGGACACAATTTTAGCAAGACAAAGGAGCAAAATGAGTTTTGCAGGGTAAATAATGAGCTAAGTCTTTACTGTAACTAAAAAACAGGTAAATTATTAAAAAGCTGACAAGCCCTGACAAGTATAAATGTTGCTAATATTATATACCAGAAAACTGGGATATACAAGGTTGTAGGACTTTCCAATGGTAAAATGGTCTCATTTAATATTGAGAATCTATCATCAATATAAAAGTAATAAGTGGGCATTTTTCTTAAAGTATTTTATGCACTAAAAATTATCCTTAATTTCAAAGCTATCTGGTTATGGGAACTGATCAAAAAGTGAATTAATGGAAATACAGATAAAAATACATTTGATGCCTATAAACAAGAAAATTGAGCAGAAATGTTCATCTAATTGTAATTCTCAACTGTATCCCTGTCTCTGCTCAGAAAGACATCCTCAGCAAACTGATGATGTCACATATTTTCACATGAATATATAACAGTATTACTGTTAGATAAGCCCAGATTTTAATATTGACTAAGAGGGAGAAAAAATAAACCAATCCAAGTGAATGAAGCATACAAGGAATAGTTTCCCATGGTGTGCAGCAGTTTTATACCTGCTTTGCTTTCACCTGGATTTACAGTGAAAAGACTTGAAGACAGCTTCCTTCTGTCTAGAAACTATTTTTCTCTTCTTTTAATTTCCCTGCACTCTAAACAAGAACAGTGTCTCACATTCAAATAATCACTCTGAGTCTAACCATCTCCAACACAGCACAAGGATGTGTTTTGCCATGGAAGTGGCAGCACAGGAACCAGTTTTCAAAGGTGATAAAATGAAGTGGGTAACAAAAGAATAAAGTCTCATTTTAGGACAAAGACAGAACCCTGGTTACCTGTCAAGGAAAAAAATGTTGCTCCTATGAAAATTCAATGGCAAGGTATTGAGATAAATACCATAGAGGACAAAGCAAGGCAAATTACATTGTGTATATTTCAAAGGTTTTAATTTATGAAGCTCACAAAGTAGGCAAGAAGAATTCATTTCTTGTACTTGTCATGATGGAAGTTGGTCCTGAGGCAGGATTAACATTGCAAACTGATATCAAATACACACAAGAAATCATGAATATTTATAATAATGTATTTCATAAACACATAGAGCCAATAACTGCATTCCTAGATAACCTGGTACTGTTAAATCTAATCCTTACTTGGATGTTACAAAGAAACTGATGCAGCACTTCTATGTAAAATACCAAGTGACATATTCAAATAAGCTGTAAGAGCTATTGTATCAGGTACAGAAAGTAAATTAAATAACTGTCACTCATTACAAAAGACTTGCTAATGTTTCAGCACCAGACTTCTGTGTCCTCTCAGGGAAAAACAGGAATACCTTGAAGGGTGGAAGATACCACTACTTCAGTCTAAAACTTTGAGCAATAAACAGAAAAAAAAGTACCACATAGTCATATTGTCAAATAACCACTAAATAGGTAAATAAATCAATAAGAAACACTGGCTTAAAAAGATAAAGATAAAACATCTGAACAAAGTAAAGCTTTAGAGACTGTCAGGATTTGTGAAGGAAACATATAAAAATGAAAAATTAGCTCTAAAGAAAGAGTTAAATTTAGAAAGGGAAAGGCAGCAGGTGACCAGGCAGGAGGTAGGTGAAAACTCAAACCTTTAGAAGAACCATGCCCAGTTGTTTTCTGGAGAAGCTGCCACATACTCTAGACTTTGGGAAGTCTGACTAAGAAGGAGAAATAAATAAACAGGCAAAGTAGGCAGAGTTTTCAATGTCCCATTAGAACAAAACCAGCACCAAAACAACCAAGAACCCTGACCCTGCCAGGTGCTTCACTCCCTTGCCCCAGCAGGGCAAGCCCAGAGCAGAGGCAGCAGGAGAAAACAAAAACTGTTCATTAAGCAGGGGAAGAATCAACAGCAACCACAGTGTTAAAATATTAACTCCCTAGACAAAGGGAATGGTCTAGAGTAACAACAACAAAAACATACAAGTGCATATAATCCCAGGATTTCAATTTTAAATTCTTCAATACTACAATGCTACTACATTACCTACTTTCTCAGACAGAAGTCATAGCTCAGGGAGGCCCAAAAGGCCTACAATGCAAAACTATCTGTAGTTTTCCTAGCACAGCAGGACATGTTGTGGCATCTCAGCTGTTCAAAGAAAAATGTTTTCTACAGCTCCGCCCTATGTTTATTTTCTATTTTGTTCTGCGTGAACACCATCCAAAAAATATTCACAGCAAAATTTCCCTGCCTCTTAAGTCATTAAACTTTTGAAGTGTTTAAACATATCAGGAAGGCATAAATCACCACTCCTCCAAATCACTGCATTTAAGTGCGCATAACATAAAGCACGAGATTTTCTTCAAATAATAGATTTATGTTACATGACTTTATCTGCAATTGTTTTACCAACTGCACTGAGCCCACAGAGTGAATTTCCACCAAAAACAAAACACATCACTAGCTTTCTGCTGCCATAGTAATTAATTAATAATTTTTTATAGAATCTCAAGATGGTTTCCAAACAAACTTCCTTAGAGCAACCAATACTTTGATTTTCTAAACCTCTTGGCTATATCTCATGGCAGGAAATTTTCTATAGCATGTTTCACATATTCAGTCTCTATCTTATATGTACATATAGCCAAATGGATTCCAGCTAAACAGTAAATGAACATGACAAAGTTATTTTGAATAAGTATATGCTACCAAAAAAAAACTAAGCTAAAGTAACAAGCCAAAGTTTCAGTAAGTAACATGTAAGAACATGCACACTAACATACCTTTGATTAAGTAACTTCAGTACATTTAGCTGCAGTTCTCAACAGAGTCAAACAAAACCTTGAGGTTTTCAGCAATTTAATCTATTCCAAAGACTGCATAAGTGTAATGTGGCAGTTGCTATAGTAACCACATTTTTCCTTGGAACTCAGAGTAGATACAAGTGTAAGCGATTTCTCCATCTCACTGTCTAAGTTACTGCTGTACTATGATTCTAAGCAGCAACTCTAACCCAGAAACTATCCCGCTTGCTAGTTATTTAAAATACATTTAACATTTTCTAAAATATCCTTTTCTGATTGCTTAATTCTACCCTTCTGTCTACTGCTCTGACATCACACCCTTTCATAAGTCCTCCAGATGATGATTCAGAAAAATGAAAAAATTTGAACAACTGGAAAAAATGGTAAATAGATCAATTTATAATTTATTAATTATATTTAAATTATATATATATAAATTTATATTTAAATTATATATATCCATATATAATATATATAAATCTGTCAACACTTATTCTTAAAATTTCTGCTTAGAACATTCTTTGAAGTGTAACTCGGTGGCAATGAATCCAAACAAACTGGAATTTTTGTTTAAAAAGTCATTACTTATTGATAGCTTCTGTGAAGCATTTTTCTTTTGTGCCACATTTCCATTTCATTCCCTTACAATCAAAACACTCCAGACTTGAAACCATGTTGGTAATTTACACCTCTGTAAATGCATTTGCAGATTCTGCTGGTTTGACTCCTGGCTTTCTGGTGTAAAAGGTGGAGGTATCATTCTACTTGCATTTAGTTGCCAAAGACTAAATCTGCTAAATATGACAGAGGTGAAAACATACCGTAGAACAGGAATGCTTTTGTTAGTCAATGCATCACCATATTAATGAGCAAAAATGTAGGGGACTGTGCTCTAAAAACTGCATTGTAATAAAAAGAACAATCTGAATACACGTCAAGGATTTCAGGGGTGCTGAGCATCTGCAACTCCAAGTGAAAAGAATGGGAATTGACATCAGTGGAATTATACCAGTTTCCAGCACCTGTGAATTTGGCCTCAAGGTGACCTAATACGCCTTTTCCATCTTTCATTTCTGTTTGATAGCTACAGCACAACCAAAATATTTTCTCCTCTTTACAATTAAACTAACCAAATAAGCTATGTAGAGCAGAACATTCAATGCATTGAGGCAATTTCCTATGTAAGAATGTTCTAAAAAAAAATAATTTTCTTGAATGTCAACTATTCAAATTCTATTTAAAATTCCCATAAAATCCTCCCACGTAACCAAGAACATTTGAAACTCAGATGGTGAACAATCATTTCAGAGTCCACTGCTTGTACTTTATCTGTGGGTGAGTTAATAGAGATTTTCAACTACAATTTTTTGGTTCCTGTATTTCTAATTATAGATTAATAATTTCTCTTCTGCAAAGGGTCTTTTCATTTTAAATTTGTCAGATGTACTAGCTTGGAACACTAGACTTGTAGTAGAAGGTAAAAGTAGGCAAGGCTAAAAATCTGAGTACCATGCTCTACCAGGACTCAATGCAATTGTTTTATGCAGCTTGGGAGGGTTGGTAACAAATTCTCAATGTCCCAAGGAGTTTCACAGTCTTCATGTGGACAAGCTGGCCATGACTTCAAAGATATTAAATGGACATTTCATGTCAGCTGTGACTGCTTGCTACTAAGTACTGCCTCTGACACAAGCAATGCCTTCCTTTATATAATAATAATATGCCCGATAATGTCATGAGCTATCATGGAGTGAGAAAAAATTATCTTGATGTTCTTCACATTCTCCGATTATTCTTATCCCTGGCAGATGTCTTACAGAAAAGAAATGGACATTTTACCACTGCTGTTTAAACCGAACCAGTCCCTAGAAAATAGTTCAAGCAGAAAAAACAAAAATGTAATTATTGCCTTTAAAAGTCTCTGATTTTCAATTTTATCCATAGCAAAAATTATGGTGTTGGCAATGTTGAAAGTAATGATCTATTTCACAGATTTATGGCAAGGAATAATTAATGTTTACAGAGTATCTCAGAGGTAGCAAGTAATGTTGGTAGGATACATTAATAAATACAGAGCCAAAACAAAGCCTCTGAAGTTTTCCTGCTTTTGGAAAGTGAGGGTGTGCATACTGATCAAGCACAGTGTGACAAAACACTGTTAGTCCACAGTGAATGATGGATAAGACAGATGTCCTTTTCTACTATGAAGACTGGTTGTGCATCCTTCCTAGCTACCAGTCTGAATTAAATTGCATTTTTTAATCTATTCATATGTACAGAGAAAAGGGTAGCTATTTCTTATGTTTCTCAACTATGGCAAACCACCTGTCATCTTTTTTCTATTTGAGTTACTAGATAACAGCTTCTAACTGCACCAGACCTTTTGACAATTTCCTTAAAGTAAATTTGCTACTTCTTATCTAATCCAAATAGCAATAATTGTTCACTATACCTGTCCTATCATACTTAAAGTATGGAGCCACTATTGTCAAACAGCATTTTGACTTCCATGTAGAGAGAACTGTTTCTTGGTATATAATTTCCATTGCTCACAGTTAAAGCTCAGACTCCATTTTGCTAGTCAGTCTCTCATTTAGGGCTTTTTCCCCCTTTTCTTCCTTTAGCTTCTTTCTCCTACACTCAGTATACATGTATCTATTGAAGATTAAGAGCCACAATAATGGTAAAAAACCATTGTTTTGTTTCTTGCAAAGAACTTGGAGATACTGACAGATGAGTTAAACTTGAGTTGTCAGAACATTTGTTTTCAGCTTGAACTCAGGTCAGTTCTTCCCTTAACTTGAAATAGTATTTCTATAACTCAGGCCATTGTGGTAAATCCTAAGGAAATCACCAAGCAAGAACAACCAACATCCTAACACAGCTTAAGTGCTTGTAAATGGATTTCTTCCATGTCCTAAATTGAATTGAAGTGTAAAGATTTATAGCATTACCCTGTGACAACAGTCAGTAAATTAGATGTTCCATTACCCATTAAGGTCTAAAGATTTTATTTATATTGCTTTGTTTTTTAGAATTGTATGATGACCTCAAACAGTAAATAAGTATTATGTCACTATAATGGATTTCACATGTAAATTGCAACTCTATCTTTAATGCAGCTTTACCCAGTGTGCCCAGTTTTAGTCAAATAAATATTCACACTAAAGAAAATAGGCTGTTCTTCCTACTAAACTTGAAGATGGATTAAGAATTCAGCTACCTTGAATGTGAATCTCTTTGTCACATTATGCTAATATTTTCTGAAGACTTCAAGGCCCACTGTTAAAGTTTTTAGGCTCCCACATGAAATCAAGGGGCTTTTATGATGCAACCTTAGGGAATTTAAGGCTTTATTACATTTCAAAATTTACCCAGATATATAGATCAGATTCATAGGGCTTTGGTAGAAAGATTTTTGGTTCTGTCATTTTTTACTATTTAAAGAAATACCAGCTCAATTTCTAAATATTTAAAAGCAACCATGACAGAGATGTAGAGCTCCAGCTTGGAAATTAAGAAGTTTTCAAATTGATATTTTTTTAACAGAATGAAAAACAAGAAAAAGGAAAAGGAAGGCAGAACTGATAAGTATATACATAATAGCCACATTGGCATTGGCACTACTCTGCACTGAGAGGATAATTTCATCAAGCTATTTGTTGTGCTTTCAGACTCCTACTGCATTTTTCTCAGTTTGGAAGCACGGGCAATGTAGACTTATTAAAAATGGATCTGTTTAAGAGTCCAGTGCAAGTCAAAGATTAAATGCCATTACATTTTCTCCCTCCTTCATCAGAATGAATACAATGTGCTAGTTACTCAACACAGAAGCTGCTGTACTCTGCTGTACATGGTACAGGGAAGTCATAAAGTGTTACCACCAGCCTGGGAGTGTAACAGTCAATGTCCTTAACTTACCTTTTTTAACCTTTTTAGCTTTTTGTGAACAGAGAGTACTTGTTTTATAGAGGGTTTTTTGAGGTTTCTTCTCTTTCCAAATGGTAGTGTGAGCATTGAAGGATTTTAATTTCTGTTTTGCTTTAGAAAACCACGTCTATTACATGATCATGCCCATGTAAATAAAACAAGAGAATTATGGGTATGATGATGCTTTTACAGAAGTTCTACTTTAGTTAGATATCATTAGTCAGTTTGAAGGCATACATATTAACTGCCTCAAAACTTGATCTATGAGGTCGAGCTGATTTGTAGGGGATCCCCATGTACACAGAACAAGCACAACCGAATCATTTTGCTTTGTTAGAGAGTTACAGTGGTTTCAGTCACCACCATGCACAATACCATTTGGAATGATCTATCTGCTGTTTCCTGATCATTAAGAGTCCAAAATTACATATAAGGTCTTTACACCACAAATTCAATATCAGCATTTAAGTCAACTTACAGGCACTGCAAAGAGAATTTTCAATAGCAAGTCTTATTCTGATGTAAATACATGCGTTTCAAAACATCTCATGGCATTTACTTCAATACACTTTGTCCCAGCATGACATGTTAGATGATATGAGAATCTATGCTTAACATAAACGTAGGAGGTTTTGATTTAATTTTTCTGTCTTTTTTCCCACTACTGCCACAGAATGATAATCAGCATCAACAGTAGAGATTTTTTTTAAATATGATTTTTCAAACTGACATACAATTTACTTTGAGATTGCTGTTTACAGACTACACTGGCCTAAACCCTATCATTGTGATAGCTTATTAAATCTCCCTGGCTCATGTTTTTTGTCTTTTCATTACCATTGCTTTTCTGGTTTCTTATTCCAATATCACATTTTGGTTTTCATTCAGGAGGATTCTGATTTCACTCTATCACCTGCTAACAGCTAAAACAATGTTTTTACTGACTGAAAAAAAAAATTAAGAGAAAAAGGCAACAAGGAGGGAAAGGAAAGGGAATTGACTGCTGGTCTCCCTTAATTCCTCTATAAGGCCTTGGTGAGAACATCACCAAGTTACCTACCATCCTTCTGGTAAGACATGAGCACTCCCACTCAACCAAATTCTGCATGAATACACATTAGTGCTACGTTGATTTCTGAGGACAATGGCCTGATAAAATCATACAATTGTAGTTGCATGATTTAGGTGATATTATGCAAAAACAAGGCATCATGCAGCAGTTGGGGAAAAGCAATTACAAATCTAAATGCACCATCACACAATAACAGTGCAGAGCAAGGTTTACTTAATTGGCAAAACGCTCCGTGGCATTAGAAAATACCACATTGTTTGGTTATCTATCTGCCAAGGTTGTGACTACCAAACATCTTTGCCGTGTATTTCTGGGAACATTGAAAGAAGACTACCTGACACAGCCTGATACTAACAAACACTACTGATATACTAGTCAACA